TATATATATATATCCATGAGCGTGTTTATAAGCCCCAGTTTGGCGTGATTTAAAGTGTAAATTGAAATAAAAAATGAATATATTTCCGTTAAACTGTGCCAGAATCTTTAAGCTTGATCCGTATATCCAGAGATAAAATGGTGTTGTTAGCCATGGATTCGAAAGTGAATTTTATATTGTTAGTGATGTCTTTATTATTTAACTGTGCATTGAGTGTGTGTGCTTCACCTAGAGGGACGATGTCTAACACACAATTTACATACCGCTTCCAGAACACAGGCCTGATGTTGCTCTGAGTTGTATTATGTTTGTTGTTCACGCCACTAAAGATACAAATTAGTCAGTATGGGACTCAGGGACGTAGCCAGGATTTTGAAAAGGGGAGGGGGTGGCGTTATACCGAGCGAAGGTGTGGTGTTCCCTTTCCTACGGCTTGGGGTGTAAGGGCTCCGGGGTGGGGGGCTAATTTCCCTGGGAGCACTCTGAACGTTTAAGGACTGTTTTGAGAGGATAAAGTGAAGAAATAGACGCATCATAAATAGGTCTAATATTAGTAAGTCTTACAATAATTAAACTAAATAGTGGCGAATTCAGAAATTCAAAAAGAAAGATGACCCAGGAAGGGACTTCCACATACGTGCCGACTCGATGGAGTTTAATGTCATATACCCAGGGAATTGCGCAGATCTGCTTTGAAACGTGTGGGGTGGGGAGACATTTCATGAGTCCACACCCACCATAGACCCACCATGTTTGGGGCTGAGTTGCGAAAATTTGAGAAAATAGTACGTCTAGATGGCCAGAAATGACACTTTTAGCAAAATTCATCATCATTATATCACTATCATAATAGTCAAAATAAAGCGCCAACAAATTTTTCATGATTTTTTATCACAGATTTTCGGCAACCATAGAGATCTTATGTGTGATGTACCATAAAAGATAAAGCTTAAAAACATTGTTTTTGATGTATGTACTTTACAACCACCTTAGCCTGCTAAGCCCACCATGGTTGGGGCTGAGGTGGTAAAATTTGAGGAAATAGTACCTCTAGATGGCCCGAAATGACACTTTTAAATAGTAAAATTTATCATCATTGTCACATCACCATATTATAGTCAAAATGATCTTTTATCAGGGATTTTCGGCAACCATAGAGATCTACTAAATATCCAGGACAACTTGGGCCCAAATATACTAAGCTTCAACTACTAAAATAATGATCGACAAACCACCACTTTCCTTTTCGCCCTCAGCACAATTTTTAATATTATTAATATTATTATCTATTAATCACCATCATCGTTGTCCATAATCATCATCATTATTATTACTACTACTACTTTAGTAGTATTAAACAAAACTTTATAAATGCTTGCAAGAGGATAACAACCAAACTGAACATTACAATATCACATTTCTGTATTTTAAAAGACATGGCCTGGGATTTATGGATTTAAGACGATTTTAAGTATTTCTTTTGTTAAGTAAGTTTGCTAAATCCACTCCTTGAGCAGTAGCCGTTATAAACCCGAACATTTATTTTTTGCATTATCGTGTACAGTGTACAGTAGCAATGCCCCGTTTTTTTCCTGTAGATTTTGCAGTTGAACGAGAAATAGGTCTGCATTATGCCTGTTACTTGTTGTTTTGTTCTCTCATGAAGCGTTGTTAATGGGTTCTCGCCTATTTCCAGGGCCTACTTTACTGGTGTTTTTGTAAACAGAGATACTAAATCGAATGAGACATATGTTTCGTCTGGTTTAACCATTATCTTTTGTATTTCCTGAGCCAATTCACCCGAATCATTCACAAGGTTTTCTGTGTTACCTTAACTACTTAGCAGGGTAGTTAAAGCCCTTTTGTAGCACGGATATTTCGTTTCTACTAATCACCTTCCTAAAAAAATTACCACTGCTTCTCTCTCTCCCTTCCCCCCTCTCTCCCTCTCTCTCTCCCTTTCTCTCTCTCTCTCTCTCTCTCTCTCTCTCTCTTATGATCTTAACAGATTAATTGTAAAATCAATGAGAAGACGAGGTACATTCATTGAAGGTTGACTTGCGGAACAATTTTACAAAAATATACAATCAGTTGATAGGATCAAAAAATAAAAGTTTGGTAACGAGTTAATGAGTGAATTATTCAAAAGTAAAGAATTGTAAAATGTCGGCAAAATAGAGGTGATTATGTAAGCAATAATTTTTCAGCAGTTATATTGATCCAGCTGAATGTTGAGACTTTTAAGACTAATAATACAGGAATAATAGAGTATAAGGTGTATATTAGGTGCTAAAATTCGGTATATAAATATGTTAAAAATTGTGGAATAGAAAATGAATCCAGTAATATAATAACATGTATAAATATATAGGCCTTTATAGTTATATATATATATATATATATACATATATAT